ACCAAAAAATTGGAAAGTCGAAAAATTGCAAACTCGAAAAATCAAACATTAAAAAATCGAAAACTGAGAAAATCGAGAATTCAGAAAATTGAGAAATCGAAAAGTCGAAAATCGAAAAATTGAAAGTCAAAAAATCGAAAAAATGGGAAATTCCAGAAATTTAAAAGTAAAAAAACCAAAAATTCGAACAACGAAAAATTGAAAAATGGAAATTCGAAACAACAAAAATTCGAAAAATCGCAATCAAAAATCCGAAATTCAAAAAATCGAAGAAGGGAAGTTGGAAAAGTCGAAAAAAGAAAAACTGGAATTTCGAAAATTTCAAATATTGAAAAAAAAAAACGAAAATCGAAAAATGGAATTTCGAAAGAACAAACAATTTACAATTTTTATTGCTTTTTTAACTTGAACTTTTCAATTCTTCAATGTTTCATTTTTTGTTTCTTCAGTTTTTCGATCGAAAAATTGCATTTTTCCAGCTCTTACGTTAAAATTTATCAGTTTTTTCAATTTTTCAGCTTTCGAATTTTTCAATTTTTCGCTTGGTGTTTTGTTTTCTTTGTTTTTTTCATTTATTCGATTTCTCAATGTTTCGATTTTATATTTTTTTGTTTTTTCCATTTTAATCTTTTCAGTTTATTGTTTCTTCAATTTTTCGATTTGCGAATTTTTCTTGTCTCAATTTTTCGGCTTTTCAATGTACTGATTTTATCATTTTTCAGCTCTTAATTTTTAGTTTTTTCAATTTTAGATTTTCCAGTTTATCGATTTTACAATTTTTCGTTTCAATTTTTTATTTGGTTCAGTTTTACAATTTTGGGTTTTGCACTGTTCCGATTTTATAATTTTTTTATTCAATTTAAATTTTTTAAATTTTTCAGTGTTCCTTTTTTGCAACATTTGGATGTTTCAATTTTTAGATTTTACAATGTTCTGATTTTATAATCTTTTTTTTTCAGGGTGAAAATTTTCAATTTTTGTATTTTTCAATTTTTCGGTTTCAATTTTAGATGTTTTCATTTTTCGTTTCTTATTTTTTTTATATTTTTCAGTTTTCTTTTTAAATATGCAGCAATAACTATAATTTAAAAAATATATTCAAATCGGAAAGTACAAAAATCGCAAAATCGAATAGTCAAAGATCAGAAAATCGAAAATTAGGAAATCGAATATTCGGAAAATTGAGAAATCAAAAATTGAAAATTGGAAACCAAAAAATGGAATATCGAAAAACTGAAAAATGGTAATTCGAAAAAACGAAAATTCGAAAAATTTCAATATCGAAAATTTGAAAATCTACAAATTGAAAATAAAAGAATCGAAAAAGGGAAATTGGAAAGTCGAAAACTGGAAAAATAGAAAAATCCTTCCTACAACCTTATTCGTTTGCATGATTTCAGAGAATTCGGTTTTAAATGTTGTGTACAATTTTTATTGCTTTTTTAACTTGAACTTTTCAATTCTTCAATGTTTCATTTTTTGTTTCTTCAGTTTTTCGATCGAAAAATTGCATTTTTCCAGCTCTTACGTTAAAATTTATCAGTTTTTTCAATTTTTCAGCTTTCGAATTTTTCAATTTTTCGCTTGGTGTTTTGTTTTCTTTGTTTTTTTCATTTATTCGATTTCTCAATGTTTCGATTTTATATTTTTTTGTTTTTTCCATTTTAATCTTTTCAGTTTATTGTTTCTTCAATTTTTCGATTTGCGAATTTTTCTTGTCTCAATTTTTCGGCTTTTCAATGTACTGATTTTATCATTTTTCAGCTCTTAATTTTTAGTTTTTTCAATTTTAGATTTTCCAGTTTATCGATTTTACAATTTTTCGTTTCAATTTTTTATTTGGTTCAGTTTTACAATTTTGGGTTTTGCACTGTTCCGATTTTATAATTTTTTTATTCAATTTAAATTTTTTAAATTTTTCAGTGTTCCTTTTTTGCAACATTTGGATGTTTCAATTTTTAGATTTTACAATGTTCTGATTTTATAATCTTTTTTTTTCAGGGTGAAAATTTTCAATTTTTGTATTTTTCAATTTTTCGGTTTCAATTTTAGATGTTTTCATTTTTCGTTTCTTATTTTTTTTATATTTTTCAGTTTTCTTTTTAAATATGCAGCAATAACTATAATTTAAAAAATATATTCAAATCGGAAAGTACAAAAATCGCAAAATCGAATAGTCAAAGATCAGAAAATCGAAAATTAGGAAATCGAATATTCGGAAAATTGAGAAATCAAAAATTGAAAATTGGAAACCAAAAAATGGAATATAGAAAAACTGAAAAATGGTAATTCGAAAAAACGAAAATTCGAAAAATTTCAATATCGAAAATTTGAAAATCTACAAATTGAAAATAAAAGAATCGAAAAAGGGAAATTGGAAAGTCGAAAACTGGAAAAATAGAAAAATCCTTCCTACAACCTTATTCGTTTGCATGATTTCAGAGAATTCGGTTTTAAATGTTGTGTACAATTTTTATTGCTTTTTTAACTTGAACTTTTCAATTCTTCAATGTTTCATTTTTTGTTTCTTCAGTTTTTCGATCGAAAAATTGCATTTTTTCAGCTCTTAAGTTTAAATTTTTCAGTTTTCAAGTTTCCAGCTTTCGAATTTTTCAATGTTTCGATTTTATAATTTTTGTTTTTTTTTAATTTTAATTTTTTCAGTTTATTGTTTCCTCAATTTTTCGATTTGCGAATTTTCCATGCCTATTTTTCGGCTAAATTTTCTTTTTTTCAACGTGAAATTTTTCATTTTTTGGATTTTCTCATTTTTCAATTCTTAGATACTATGTATCTATTTTAATTTTTGGTTTTTTCAATTTTAGATTTCTTTGTTTCTCGATTTTGCAATTTTTCGTTTCGGTTTTTAGTTTGCTTTATTTTTACAATTTTTTTTTTAATTTCAATTTTTTCAATTTTTGGTTCCTTCAATTTTACGATATGCAATTCCTCGGGTTTTCATTTTAAAATTTTTCAGTTTTTCACTTTTTCAACTTTTGGAATTGCAATTTCAAGAGTTTCCAATTTTTCGATTTTTTAATTTTTTTTTCAGAGTAAAATTTTTCAAATTTTGAATTTTTCAATTTTTCATTTGAAATTTTTTCAGTTTTTATTTTAAATATGCCATATTAAGTATAATTTTTAAATTTTTTGACTTTTTCAGTTTTAGAAAATTTCCATTTTTCAATTATTGGATTTTAAAACTTTTTCATTTATTCGATATTTCAATTTTCCGATTATTAATTTTTTAGTTTCTCGATATTTATTAATTTTTTAGTTTTTAGGTCTTTCAATGTCATAGTTCTTCCACTTAATTTTTCGATGTCATAATTTTTGGGTTTTGCAATTTTTCGATTCAATAATTTTATTACGTTTTTAAGTTTCTCGATTTTTGGTTTTTCAATGTTTTTCTTTTCTTCACTTCTTCGATTTGTAATTTTTCGATATTGCAATTTTTTATTTTCTCAATTTCTAGATTTTTCAATTTTTCGAAACGAAAAAGCATGAAATGAAAAATTAAATATCGAAAGATTAAATAAAAATTGAGAAGCTTAAAAATTGAAATAGTGCGAAGTCGAAACATGTATCGCAAAATCGAAATATTGAAAATTGAAGAAATCCAAAAATTGCAAATTAAAAAAACGGAAAAACGAAAAATAAAAATCAAGAACTTGAAAAATTGAGGAAACGAAGGAAAAAACTATTAAAATATAAATTCAGAAACTCAAAAACCGAAAAGTGAAAAACTGTAAATCCTAAAATTGACCTATTTTCCAGTTCGTGAATTCCAAGAACCGAGGCGTCCGAGATTTCCAAGAAATTAGCATAGCGATTTTTTCCAAGAAATATTGATTTTTATAGATGCAGAATAAAGCAATTCTTGAAAAAGTAACGGTATAAATCAATTTTTTTTTTAATTTCCGCGAAATACACAGAATTTTGCCCTTTACTGTTTTGAAATACCTGGTTGTGTATTTTTTTTATAATTCAAAATTGTGCAATCAAATTTTACATAGATTCTTTTAGCACCTATCGCTTTGAAATGTAGCACGTCTTTTGAGGTTATCATCAGCCTGATAGATGTCTAACAAAAATTACTTATCTATTCATCCCCACCAAAACTTTGATGACGTTATATAAACAGATGCTAAGTAAATTCTATTTAAAATATTCATTCAGACTAATTTTGACTTTTTTCCAGAAATCTGGATGTCTGGTGCAAAAACTCAAAACGGATTCATAAACTACACTACTACTATAATAAATGAATTACATTGTTAGGATTTTTTAATGTTAGAAAAATCGTGTCCCTGGTGTAATTAGTTAAATTAGTATCAAAAACGTTGGATGTTAATCGACCAACTTTTGTCGTTCCACTCGTTGCTAATTAATTAATTTTTCGTCGCGCTCCCTAGGACCCAAAAGCGGGTGCATATTAATTCCACCTGAGCATAATAGTGGTGCCACGCCCTCCTAATCCGTTTTTTCTCCGCCAGTGACACCGCCGTACGTTAAACTTTCCTCCATAAATAACAAAAAACCCGAGCAGATTTAGAGCTCTCGAACTAATTTGCATGAAAGCAAACACCGCCGCGAAATACAACAGTTATTAATTTTAGAAATTCGCATTTAGCAATTACCATAAAAACCATACCTATTAATAAAATCGCGGAAGTCGAATCGAAAGTTGTGCCAGCCGTCACCTTTTAATTACGAAAAAATAAATCGCAATTAACAAGATCGGCGCGATTCAAATTACCCTTTAACCTCACATGAATCGAACGTTGCATAATATTTATTTCGTAACGAATATTGTTTTATGATGCACAAAAACGATTTATTGGCGGAGTGCAGATTGACATACTTTCGAAGATGGTCACGTAATGATGCGGTCGACTTGATGAAGTGTGCTCGTCTCCTCCAGCATGAGCATTGCGAAACGAGCGCATATGTGCAGATTCACTTGCGAAACTGGTATGCGGGATTACGTTGCTACTTACCCTGACCGACGACGAACGTCTGGTAGAACTGAGAGAGGTATGTGAGGATGGAAAGACGATCGGGGACCGGGAATTCCACCATGTCTTCGGGCTCGAGCAGCGCGGGTATGCCGAGATGGTGCTCGGCGGTACGAAAAGCGAGCTCGTTGTTGTGGAATATGTCATCCTTGTTGAGCTTGGAGAACTCTCTGCAACGAAATCGGAGCCAGGTCATAATATGCAAAATAATTTGTGGTCGGGTCGTCATCCTTTGAAAGGATTTGGCACGTCGGTGATTAAACTACACTGATAAATGATACATGTCAAAAAAAAATGAGGATTTTTAACTTTCTCAAAGTTACAGCGAGATTGATTCATACATTGAGACCCAATTTAAATCGAAATTAAAAATCTGTTTATAAGGATCTCAGATTTTGCCTTTTTGGGCACCTATTTCAAATATTAGGTTACAAAATTGCGTTGCCACGATATTTTTTTGTTAGGTTAGCGTCAAGTCAGGTCAGGTCAGGTCATGTCCTTCCTTTTTTTTGTTAATCAAAATACCGAAAATGATTTCGGTGGACCAAAAATATATTTTGGTGAATACAACAAAGATAGACCAGACATTAGTAAATGAACACTTCTTGGAAAGGTTTTTGAGAGTAGTTATATGATGGGGATTCTGGTTCATTTTTTTGGGAACTTAATGTGGCACACCGTAAAAATTTCAAAATTTTGGGGGTGAGTTATGTTTTTTTTCAGAAGACTGCTTTTTTGTGCACTTAAGTGGATGTTTTTTTCTTTAGAGGTGAGTTTTTTTGCCTCACTTCGGACATGATCCATCAGTACTTTTTACGGGTGAGTTTATTGGGTTTTTGGGCAGATGACTTTTTTTTTCGGTTAGAATCTTTCTTGTGCGATAATTTTTTTATTGAAAACCGGTAGAAAGCTAGAAAGTCAATAATAAATATAGTTTCCCTAGTTCTAATTCGGTTTTATGATGTGTAAAAGTTAAATTCCTTAACTATAGATTACTACTGTCAGTGATGGGACAGTAATAAATGAGAATTTAACCATTATATTGCATAATGGTACCGGCATGTCAAATCCTTATTTACGACTGTCCCATCACCGGCAGTAGTAACCTATTGTTAAGGAAGATTGTGGTACCATCATAATACCGAATTAGCACTGGGGAAACTATACTAGAAAATTTTGAGAGTGGTTGTATGATGGGGTTTCTAGCACATTCTTATGGGAATTTAAGATAAGAAATCATAAAAATGACAAAATTTTGTTTTTCAGAATACCTACATATTTTAGGTCGTGAGGTTTATGTTTTTTTTTTGAAGACTGTTTTTTTAAACTGATTTTTTGTGTAAATGGACGCATTTTTCTTTACGGGTTCTATCCAATTGCCCTTTCTTTCGTTCTGTTTTTGTCTTTCTGTTTTCTATTTTGCTACTTTTCTGCCCCCTGACTTTCTGTTTTTCTGCCCCTTTGCCAAATTAATATTTATGTCTCGCTGAATGCTCTTTCTGTCTCTTTGTATGTTGCTTTTGTGTTCCTCGTTCTCTCTAGTTACTTCTATCTCGTCCCCTCCTCTTTCCCTTGGTGTTATCTCTCATTCTTTTATCCTTCTATCCTTTTGCCCTTCTGACTTTCTGTCGTTCTACTTTTCTGTCTTTTTGTATTTCTGTTTTCTGTTTTGCTACTTTTCTGCCGCCTGATCTTCCGCTTTTCTGTGCCTCTGCCTATCTATCTTATGTCCTGTTGCATTCTGTCTTTCTGTCTGTTTGTTTGTTCCTGTATTCCTGGTTCTCACTCTCTATTTTCTTCTATCACTCTCATCCCCTCTTCTTTTCCTCTCTTTCATCTTTCTATCTCTCTGTCTCTTCCTCTCCGTTCTCACACTCTCATTCTCATTTTTTCTCTGTTTTTCTTGTTCTCTTCCGCCAAGTTTAAGCAAGAAAATGACAAATCGTTTCCGCCTGATTGTTTGTTTTTGTCTCATTATGTTTCTGTCTTTCTGTATTTCTACCTTTCTGTTTTTCTTTTACCTTTCTGTGTTACGGTCTTTCTATCCCTTCATTCTTTTATCCTTGTATCCTGTTGCCCTTCTGACTTTCTGTCGTTTTGCTCTTCTGTCTTTTGTATTTCTGCTTTCTGTTTTGTTATTTTTCTGCTTCTTGATTATCCGCTTTCTGTGTGTCTGCCTATCTATCTTATATCTTGCTGCATTCTGTCCATTTTACTATATCTCATCCATTTCTCTGTCTCCTCCTCGTTTTCCTCTCTCTCTCTCAATCTCATTTTTCTGTCTTTCTGTTTTTTGTTTTTCCGTTATTTTCTCTTCCTGATAAGTTTAAATAAGAAAATCATACATCGTTTTCGCGGGTTTATTTTTCTGTCTTCTTGTATTTATATCTTTTTTCTTCTTATTTTTGTTCTTTCGTCCTTCTATCCCTCGATCTTTGCTGCCATTCTGTATGTTGTTTCTGTACTCCTTGTTCTCTCTATTTCCCTCTGTTTATCGCTTTGTGTTACTTTTTCTTAATCCCTCTTTCTCGTTCTTCTGTCTTCCTCTATTTGTCTTTTTCTTTTTTTGTCTTCAAGTTTCGTCTTTCGATCTTTCTGTTTCGATCTTCCTGTTTTTTTGTCCTTTGGCCTTCGTCTTTCTATCGTTCTGCTTTTTTGTCTATCTGTATTTGTTTTCTGTTTTCTTACTTTTCTGCCTCCTGACTTTCTGTCCCTTTGCATATCTATCTTTGTTTCTTTCAATCTTTCCGCCCTTTTGCCTTTCCGCCTTTCTATTATTTTTGTTTTGCTACGTTCTCTGTTTCTTTCTGTTTGTTTATTGCTTCTGTATTCCTCTCTGTCTCTTCCTCTCTACTCTCACTCTCTCTCATTCCCATTTTTTATTTTCCTGTTTTTCTTGTTTTTGGCCTGATTGTGTTTCTGTCTTCCTTCATTTCTATACTTCTATCCTTTTGCCCTTCTGATTTTCTATCGTTTTGCCTTTCTGTTTTTTGCAATTCTATTTTCTGTGTTGCCATGTTTCTGCTTCCTGATTTTTCGCCTTTCTGTCTCTCCGCCTATCTGTCTTATGTTTTGCTGCATTCTGTCTTTCTGTCTGTTTGTTTGTTGTTTCTAGATTCTTTGTTTCTACTTTCGTCTATCTCTCTGCTCTCTTTACCTGTCCCCCCATTTTACTCTATTTCATCCATCTCTCTGTCTCCTCCTAGTTTTCTTCTCTTATTCTCAATCCCATTTTTCTGTTTTTTGTTTTTCAGTTATTTTCTTCTTCTGATAAGTTTAAATAAGAAAATGAGAAATTGTTTTCGCGTATTCATCTTTCTGTCCTTCTGTCCTCTTGTATGTCTTTCTTTTTGTTTTTCAATTATCATCTTTTGATCTTTTTGTGTTCTTCTTTGTGTCCTTTCGTTTTTGTATCGTTCGATCCTTTCTGTACTCTTCGTTCCCTCTATTTCCTTCTGTCTCTCATCTCCCCCCCCCTCTTTCCCACTCTTTATCGCTCTGCGTTTCTACCTACTAATCTCTCCCCCCCCCCCTCTTTCCTTTTTTTTTTTGGTTTTTTCGTTTTCTCTTTCTTTTAAGTTTAAGGAAGAAAATAACAATCGTTTTCGCCTTTCTACCTTTCTGTTCTTTTGTCTTCCTGTACTTAAATCTTCTTGTTTTTATGTCTGTTAATTTTCGTCTCCCGATCTTTCTATGTTTCGGTCTTTCGGTCTTTTTGTCTTCTATTCTTCTACCCTTTAACTTTCGTCTCTTTATCGTTCTGCTTTTCTCTCTTTCTGTATTTTTTCTGTTTTATTGCTTCAATCTTTCCGCCCTTTTGCTTTTCCGCCTTTCTATTTTATCTTTGGCTACGTTTTGTCTTTCTGTCTGTTTGTTTGTTGCTTCTGCATTCGCCGTGCTCTCTATTTCCTTCTATCTCCCTTTTCCCTCCTCTTTTCGTATCTTCCATCTTTCTATTCCTTTATTTCTTCCTCTCTACTCTTACTCTCCCTCATTCTCATTTTTTGTTTTCCTGTTTTTTTCTTGTTTTTCTCTATTTTCTCTTCTTGATAAGTTTATATAAGAAAATGACAATTCGTTTTCGCCTGTATATTTCTCTCCTGTCTTCCTGTATTTCTATCGTTTCGTCTTCGAACGTTCATCTTTCGATCTTTTTGTCTTTCGTTCTTTTCGTCTTCTTGTTTCTGTTTTTTTTATCCTTATATCTGTCTATCCTTTCTACCCTTCTGCCTGTTGTTTTTGTACTTCTCGTTCTTTTTATTTCTTTCTATCTCATTTTTCCCCATCCCTCTTTCCCTCATTTCTGCTGATTTCTTATATTTCTGTTTTTTTTGTTTCTTCGTTGTTTTCTCTTTCTCTTTGAAGTTGAAGTAAGAAAACAACAACTTGTTTCGCCTGTCTATCTTTCTGTATTTATATCTTTTGGTTTTTTGTCCTTCAACTATTGTTTTTCGATCTTTCTGTGTTTCTGTCTTTCGGTCTTTGTCTTCTGTCCTTCTCTCCTTGGCTTTCTGCTCTTTTGTCTTTCTATCGTTCTGCTTTTCTGTCTTTCTGTATTTGTTTTCTGTTTTATGTTTTTTTTGCCTTCTGCCTTTCTGTCCCTTTGCTTATCAATCTTTATTTCTCTCAGTTTTTTCTGCCCTTTTGACTTTCCGCCTTTCTAATTTATGTTTTGGTAAGTTTTGTCTTTCGGTCCATTTTTTAGCTGCTTTTGCATTCCTAGTTTTCTCCATTTATTTCTTTCTGTCTCTCTCCTCTCTCTTCCTCCCTCCATCCTTCCCTCTCTTTCATCTCTCGATCTCCCTTTCTATGTTTCGGTCTTTCGGCCTTTTTGTCTTCTGCCCTTTTGACTTTCTATAGTACTGATTTTCTGTCTTTCTGTATTTGTTTTCCGTTATATTGCTTTTTTGCCTCGTCACTATCTGCCTTTCTGTCCCTTTGCATGTCTATCTTGATTTCTTTCAGTCTTTCTGCCCTTTTGCCTTTCCGCCTTTCTGTATTTATGTTTTGCTGCGTTCTGTCTTTCTGTCAGTTTGTTTGTTGCTTCTGTATTCCTCGTTCTCTCTGTTTCCTTCTATCTCTTGCTTATTTCTTCGTCCCCTCCATCTTTACCTCTCTTTCATTTCTCGATCTCTCTGTTTTTTCTCCCAACACTCTCGTGCCCATTTTCTATCTTTCTATTTTTTTGTTTTTTCGTTATTTTCTGTTTCTGTTCAGTTTAAATGAGAAAATAACGAATCCTTTTAGCTTGTTTATCTCTCTGTCCTTTGTCTTCCTTTATTTATATATTTTTGTTTTTTTGTCCTTCAACTTTCGTCTTTTGATTTTTCTATGGTTCAGTCTTTTGGTCTGTTCGTTTTCTGTCCGTCTGTCTTTGACCTCTGCTATTTTGTCTTCCTATGGTTTTGTCTTTCTGTCCCTTTGCCTATCTATCTTTATTTCTTTCAGTCGTCCTGTTTGTTTGTTGCTTCTGTATTCTTCGTTTTCTCTATTTCCTTCCATTTCTCTCCTTTCTCTTCTTTCTCTATATTTCATCTCTGGATTTTTCTGTCGTTTTGTTCTTTCGTTCTTCTGTCTCTCTATTCTTTTGCTCTTCTGCCTTGTTGTCCTTCTGCTTTCTTACTTTTCCCCCTTTCTGTCCTTTTGCCTATCTAAGTATCTTTATGTTTCAGTCTTTCTGCCTTTTTGATTTTTCGACTTTCTGTATTTCTGTCTGTTTGTTGGTTTTGTATTCCTCGTTCTCTCTACTTCTTTATATCTCTCTCTTCTTTTGGCCCTTCCTCCATCTTTCCCTTTCTTTTATCTTTCTATTTTTGTATCTCTTCCTCTCTCTCTAACTTTGTCTTTGAATCTTCCTTTTGCGGTTTTTTTTTAATTGCAAGTCGGTAGAAATTCAATAATTGAAATCTTGAAACAAAATTTTGAGATAGTTATATGACGGGGGTCCTGGTTCATTCTTATGGGAAATTAACATGGGAAATCGTAAAAATCAGAATTTTTCAGAACGTATGGTGGGGCTTCTAGCTCATTCATTTTGTGGGTGAGTTTTCTGTCTAAATACTGCTCACTTCTTATACGCCCGGTCCACCAGAAAGAGTTAGGGATGAATTTTCTGTCGTTTTTTTCAGAAAATTGCTTTTTTCGATCGCTTTTGCGTGTAAATGGCCGCATTTTTCTTTAGGGGTGAGTTTTTCTGGCTCATTTCGGGCATGATCGGTCCATCAGAACGATACGGGGGTAAGTTTATTGGGTTTTTTTCGGCTAGAATAATCTTTTTGCAGCATTTTTTTAATGCAAGTCGGTAAAAATTCAATAATTGATGTCTTGAAATAAAGTTCTGAGATAGTTATATCACGGGGGTTCTGGTTCATTCTTATGGGAAATTAACATGGGAAATCGTAAAAATGTCAGAATTTTTTAGAACGTTTTAGGGTGAATTTACTGGCTTTTTGTGCAGGTGACTACTTTTTTAAGTTTGGATGTAACTAACGAATAGTAACGAAGACAACCACGAGACAATGAACCGAGAAATATTTCCAACCTGGTGATTAATTAATTTCTGCTTTAGCAAGACTACCATATAAGTGATTGTGATAATGGACAATGCACCAAATCACCCAATGCAGCCGGAAAACCTGCGCACGTCGCTTCCACCAAGACAAAAATTCAAGAACGTTTGATCAAATAGATAAACAAACACATGCAACACAGAAATAAATTCCTGCAGTCGAGGACTACAGCAGGATCCATCGACTCTTTCCATTTACATAATTTTTAGATTTAGAACTTCCACTTTCCAATTTGGGATGAAATAACGACACCACAACGCCGTTTATTCTTAACTGATGAAGTGTTCCCTATAAAATCGAGGTTTACATTGGAAGGGTCAAGGTCTCCGTCCGTTTACCGTAGGTGAATACTCCGAAAACACACACCCTTTTGTGTGGACATACACCAACATAAAGAACAAAGGAAATTTTTACATGTAATTAACCGTAACTGTATCGGCGCATTTCCTATATACGAATTATTACCGAAAGAATTGTAATTAGGAGCCTTTTTAAGGCCCGCTTTGCATATTTCGTCCAATGTTCGTGAGATTACTCACGACTTCTTAAGCACTTTATATGCAAATCAAGTTAAATAAGTGACCTGCATCTCCTTGCAGTTTACAAACACTAGCGAACTCTTTGTGTTGGGGCTTAACTTTGCGTCAGAAATATTTTAAACGTCGCAATTTGCATAACGCAGAAAAGATACGCTCAGCGATAATTCGAAAGCTTTTTTCAGGAGGAGAAAAAATTCACCGTTGGCAGGTTTTAAGCTCCGAAATTTAAAAGGTATTGATTTTTTTAACAACAAAGAAACGCGACAAAATTAGGAGTTTAGAATCATGGGGTTAGTGTAACAAAACTGCGCCGAATAAATGCATGAGTTGGCCTTGGCAACAAGCTCTGTTTTACCAAGGGCACATTTAAACTTATAATAAAACACAAATAAAATAACCGCTTTCCAATTATTCGGATTTTTCCCACTTTACGACGCCAGAATTCAAATAAATTATGCACACCGAAATTCTCCTTAATTGGACAAAACTCAGGGTGACCTTTGAGCTTCCAGGAAAGTTTAACGACTGCCTTTAAACCCATTCCGATTTCCCGAGAACTATTTATTTGTTTAAATTCTTCGAAAATTTTCACTTCTCTTTTTATGATTCGTGCAACAAAATCGTTAATTAATTTTATGTAAAGTACAAAAATTCTGTAATTTATGTCTGTTTAAACGCGTAAAACGTGAGCGGACTGAACTAAACGTGAGAGCAATTAACAATGATTATTTCTCGGTACAAAAACGGCAAAAATACACCTAGACCTGTCCTACGCTTTCTACCACTTAACCCAATTGAGTAACTCGGTTCAAATTAAGTCAAATAACAGCTTAGTAATAAACCAATTAATGCGTCTTTGAGTTTTCGCAAGGACTAAAAAATTAAGGTCAGAAAAATCGAAATAAACGCGCGGAAATCAGGCGGAATCTGCCCGTTTATGGTAAAGACCTGTTGACTGCACAATAACATTTTTTAACGGGAGGTCAGTGCCTTGGAACTCTTCGTATAAGGATAATTAAATAATGTTGGACCGACCTGTACTTGCACAAAATAACAAAACAACGGCGCGTGAAATGCCATCTACGGAACGGGACCTTGGAAGAAAATTGATTTTTACCAAGCTCGATCTTCGATCAGAAAAACGGGAATGAAAGTCAGAGCTCACAATTAAGTGAACGGCCGATGCATTAGTACGATAAAGACTCGAGGTTTAAGAAAAATAATTCCAGAAAATGTGTCGAGAAAATGCGCTGCGAAAGTCAAACATTACAATTAAGTGAACGGTACCCGCCATCACTTAATCGATTAAAGTTTAGAAATCGTTAATTGGGCGATAGTGGCACAATAATTGTCGTTAATCCCGCTTTCTTACATCAAATCCGGTCTGAAATGATGGATTATGGCACAAAAGGCGAGTCCGTCCCTCCAGGACGTGGTCATGTTGACCACGTTGACTCCAGGATAACCCTCGGTCATTTTCCGGCACCACAACTCCAGTCCTTTGGTTCCTCTCCTCTCGCCCATTTTCGCGTCCTTCAGTCTGAAACAAAAAAAAGGCGAGTCAGTGCATCTCCTCACGATTTGCGTGAGACAATGATGGGCTGCGACCCAGTGACATTTTGTGTAATTACCCAGCAGATTAAATGATAACCAGATAATGCGCATTTCTTGCGGCCTCTATTTTCTCGTTTATTATGGCTTATTAGTCTCAATGAAAAATTGTTATTTTAGCAATGCGAGGAAATCGAAGTGAATTGCTATCATTTACATGGTTGCGGCCTTGTGAGATCTCTGCGTGAGGCCAACTTTGGTAAATCGTTTTTTCGGCGATAATGATAGTTGGAACCGAACGGATTCGGAATTAATTGGCTCTCATTAAGGAAAACAATATTTTTGGACTTGTGGCTCGTAAGTTACGCGAGTTGTGGGGCTGGCGAGGTCGTAAATTAGGAGGATTTTCGATTGGGATTATGACATGATGGGTTGCGGTTTTTGTGAAGACTGGATATGTGGGAATCGAGTTGGATTTTGATTATTTCATTTAAATTGACAGTTATTGGAGATTTTACAATGCACGCTATTTTTATGCTCATTTTTGCATAATTAAATGGCTGAAAAAGTTTTTGTAATAAAAATATACGTTTTATAATTACGTGATTGATAAACATCTGGAATTTGTTCATTTTTTGTGCATGTTCATGGGTTATTTGCTTCATTTGATGACTCAAAATTTTATGATTCAACATTGCGGTGTTAAAACAGGTACGTTTTACTTGGAACAAGTTTCTTGTCGCTTATTGCATTGTTACTTTAAAACCTGAACTTTTTAATTTTTTTTCAAAAATCTTCAAAATTAAAAAACACATTCTTTAAAAAAACACTAGAGAACTCTAAGACTCTTTCAAATTCTTTTAAAAAAGAGATATTTGGGCTCCCAACATTCTTTCACTTTCTTTAAAAAAAAATTTAGGGTCGTCCAATATTCTTCCAACCTTAAAAAAAAACCGACATTCTTTCACAATAAAAAAAGACCCCAAGATAATTTCATATCTTCTTCATAAAGACACTAGGCACCTCCAAGACTCTCTCAAGTTCTTTTAAAAAAGACATTAGGGGCCGCCAAAGATTCTTTCACATTCTCCTAATAAAAATATTTCTCAAGATTGTTCTGACCTTAAAAAAAAATAAAAAAATAGGAAGTCCTCACATTTTTTCAAATTTTTAATAGAAAGTATATTAGGGACCTCCAAGAATCTCCCAAATTCTTAGAAAAAAGACACTAGGGGCCGCTACAGATTTTTTCACATTCTCCCAATAAAAATATTTTGAATACATTTTTTCACATAAAAACAGACACAAGAGGCCCCAAGATAATTTCATATCTTTATTAAAAAGACACTAGGAACCTCCAAGACCCTCTCAAATTCTTTTAAAAAAGACACTAAGAGCCGCCAAAGATTCTTTCACATTCTCCTAATAAAACTATTTTGAATTCTCAAGATTCTTCTGACCTCAAAAAAAAAATAAAAAAATAGGAGGAAGTTCCCACATTTTTTCAAATTTTTATTAGAACGTATATTAGGGACCTCCAAGAATCTCCCAAATTCTTAGAAAAAGGGCACTAGGGGCCGCTACAGATTTTTTCACATTCTCCCAATAAAAATATTTTGAATACATTTTTTCACATAAAAAAAGACACAAGATAATTTCATATCTTTATTAAAAAGACACTAGGACCCTTCAAGACCCTCTCAAATTCTTTTAAAAAAGACACTAAAAGCCTCCAAAGATTCATTCAGATTCTCCTAATAAAAATATTTTAGGTTCTCAAGATTTTTCCATCCTCAAAAAAATAGGAGCGAGTCCCCCACATTTTTTCACATTTTTACTAGAATATATATTATGAACCCCAACAGTCTCCCAACTTATTTTAAAAATACACTAGAGACCTCCTAAGAATATTTCACATTTTTTGAAGACATTTTGTGTTCTTAGGAGTCTTTCAACCTTAAAAAACAGGAATGAGTCCGCAACATTTAACAAAAGAGACACTTGGGACCTCCAAGATTCTCCCACATTCTTAAAAAAAACACTAGGGCCCTTCAAGATAATGTCATAATCTTTAAAACACAAGAAGGACGTAGATTCTTAAAAAAAGACTCTTTCAAAATCTTCGAAAAATAACACCATGGGTCCCCGAGATTGTTGTAAATTGGCTCACAAAAAAAGTCAGAAAACACAAAGTTTCCTAGAGATTCTTTCAAAATCTTTTCAAAAATAAGACACCAGCTCGGATGGGTTCGAAAGATCTTGGGACCTATTATTTTTTGTTTTTCGAAAAAGGTTGAAATAATCTTGCGGTATTTTTCCAACATTTTCAAAAATTTTCAAGACTTTAAAGTCTTTTAATTTTAAAAGGCTTTAAAATATTAGAGGCTGCTAAGATTCTTAGACTCTTAAAAAAGACTCTTTCAAAGTCTTTCGAAAAATTACACCAAGGGCCGCCGAGATTCTTTTTCTTTTTCAGGAATACACTCTAAAATTATTGAATAATAAAGATTGTTGAAAGAAAACTATATTAAAAAAAGGACAAAGATTAAGCCCCGCCCACCCACCCCCATCTCAAGTGTGATGAATTTTTCATTCGTTGTCAGACTGTGGGGTGGAGCGTAACTGCAAAATCCCGATTTCCCTTCCAAAATTTACCATTTTGAACGTGTTTTGAGTTTCTAAGAATAAAAAAATCATCACAATTGAGATGGGGTGGGTGGGTGGGGTTTATATTTTGCCTTTTTTTCTTAATATACTTAGTATTCTTTGAACAACACGATACTTAAAAACATGTCAATTTCTTGTAAGGAAATAAGTATTTTGCAGTTAAGCTCCGCCCACTCTGTTAAAGGCGAATTAAAAAAATCATCAGAAATGCGACAGGGCGGGTGGGTGGGCTTGCATTTTGCCTTTATGTTTTAATATGTGTAGACTTCTTTTCATGTTTAAAATGGAAAATTTGTATAAGGAAATATTTCCTTCAATTTACCGTTTTGAATATGTTGGAAGTTCTTGTTGTGAAAAGAAGCCAACGTATAAGCCCCGCCCATCAGCCTTATCTAATTGTGATGATTTTTTATTGGCTGTCAGACCGATGGGCGGAGCGTAATTGCAGAATATTTATTTTCCTACAAATATTACAGTTTTGAAAATGTTCGAAGTTCTTGGTCTGAGAAGAAGACTAAGTAAAGTATATTAAGAAAAAAAACATACGCCCCACCTTCCAACCCTATCTCAATTGTGTATTGAGTAAAAAAAAAGTCAAAAATCAACTCCATATACACCCGCGTCGATCTCAATTGTAATGAATTTTTCATTCGAAATTATCGTTTTGAACATATTTCAAGTTCTTGTTGCGTATATTGAAAAAAAAGGAAAAACATAAAACACCTTCAAAAATTTTTTCAGCTAGGTGAAACAGCAGATCTCCCGGAGATGTTTTAAAATTCACATTCATTTATTTACGCTTTGTTTTTGTCCTGTAGCGCTCACGAATGTTACTTTCATTTTTTCCTCATTAATTTTTCAAGATCGAACTCTCATCTGGTATGGAATAAAACATTGACTGTATGTTCTTTATTATAATATATCTTCTTTTCTGAATCAAAAGATTGTTGAAAAAAACCATATTAAGAAAAACAAGGCAAAGATTAAGCCCCACCCACCCGCCCCGATCTCAAGTGTGATGAATGTTTCATTCGTAGTCAGACCGTGGGGCGGAGCGTAACTGCAAAATCCGGATTTCCCTACAAAAATTTACCATTTTGAACGTGTTTTAGGTTTCTAAGAATAAAAAAATCATCACAATTGAGATGGGGTGGGCGGGCGGGGTTTATATTTTGCCTTTGTTTCTTAATATACATAGTATTCCTTGACCAACACGATACTGAAAAACATGTCGGCAATTTCTTGTCAAGAAATAAGTATTTTGCAGTTAAGCTCCGCCCTCTTGGTTCACGGTGATTAAAAAAAAAATCATCACAATTGAGATAGGGTGGGTGGGCGGGCTTACGTTTTGCCTTTTTGTTTTAATATATGAAACTTAAAACATGTTTAATATCGAAAATTTGTATAAGGATATATCGATTTTGCAATTAGACTCCGCTCCATAATTGCAAAATCCATATTTCCTTAAAAATTTACCGTTTTGAATTTGTTGAATATAATATAAGCCCGCCCACCCGCCCTATCTCAATTGTGATGATTTTTTTTATTCGCCGTGAAACAAGGGGGCGGACCTAAACTGCAAAAGACTTAGTTCTTTACAAGAAATTGAAAACATATTTTTGAGGATCGTGTTGGTCAAAGAATACTATGTATTTTAAGAAAAAAAAGACAAAATATAAACTCCGCCCTCCCGTTTTGTCTCAATTGTGATGATTTTTTTTATTCGTCGTGGGCAAGGGGCGGACTTTTCTACAAGAAATTAACATAGGTAATTGTGTTATTCAAAAAAACTCAATTGTCATGAGTTTTTCATTCGTTGTTAGACCGAGGGGCGGGGCGTAATTGAAAAACCAATATTCCCTTCCAAAAATTGTGGTTTTTGGGAATGTTTTAAGTTCTTGTGAAAAGACTACGTATATTGAGAAGGAAGAGCAAAAACATAAAACACTAGCGACCTCCAAAAATTTTTAAACTAGGCAACACAGCAGGTGTCCCGGAGATGTTTTAAAATTCACATCCATTTATTTACGCTTTATTGTCCTGTAGCGCTCACGAATGTTACTTTCATTTTTTCCTCCTTAATTTTTCAAAACCAGATAAGATCGAATTGTGCGCAAAAATAGTAATTAAAAAACAACATTCTGGCAATGAACGCCCAACTAGAATCACGTTGAACACATTACCATTAAAGAGGCATTAGTTGCATCACATCAGGATAAACAATTCAATTTATATTTTTTTGTTCTCATGTAGATAATGCTTGCACAATTTAATGTCAAGGTACGAAAGAACTATAAGTTTGGAGGTTTTGATTGTAGCTTA